ACCAACTGCTCAAAGAAGCTAGGTTCTTCAAACCACATATTTTCAAACTTCCAAGGTCGCTTTACCCTTTCATTACCACCCCACTGCAGGACGACCGGGTTATGATCAGACTCCACCCTTTCCAAGGCGATTAGGGTTCCAGGTTCGAACAAGTATTCAAAACTCGGATTAACCAATGCTCTATCAATTCTGGACAACGAAGCTCTACTACCGCCACTACTCCACGTGAACTGAGCACCTTTCAGGGGTGAGTCACACAAATTGTTGGAAGTGATAATGCTATTGAACTCAATTATAACCTCATTGCTTCTTGGCCCCTCTCTGTAATCATCCTGAGAACAGACTGAATTGAAGTCCCCGATCACACACAAAGGCTCTGAATATCTTTGGCAAACCTGGTGCAATTCCCGGATGAAAGCCAATTTTTCCTCTTTCTCTTGTGGTCCATAAACCACCATAAGAGCAAAAACTTGATTGCTATCGACCGAATGAAGTCTAACTGCAAGGGAAAAAGACCCTTCCCCCACATCCAAAAGGGTATACTCACCTGGTTCCCAAAAAGCAGCAATCCCACCTTTAGAGTCATAAGCATCCTTCGCTACCCATTTTGAGGCCCTGCTACCGCCAACTGAAATAATGAGTTGTTGAGAGCATTCATTCCATTTTGTTTCCGTTAAGCAAACAATACTAGACCGAATTCTTCTGATAATCCCTTTGATTCTCGTCCTTTTCTCAGGTGCCCCCAGTCCACGAACGTTCCAAGCTAATATCGCCGACATGACCATTTGATACGCTTAGCACCTTTAACAAACTGTTCCGTGCCAAATACTTTTCTTCACTATGGTTTTCGCTTTCCCCACAAGCTCATCCATAGCTTCATCACAAAGCTCAAAAGTGATGTTTGTGTTCTCCTCATATTTTACAAAGAAATTGTACACATCTGTATCAGCTTCCAGTCCTTCTCTTCTCATCTCTTCCAATATTTTTCTTGCTTCCGACAGTTTCTTCCGCTTCAAGAAACCTCTGATGAGAGCATTTATACGATTTAGCAGTGAGAACAAATCCTTTTTCCAACCATCGCTTTATACAAATACCACGCTTCTTTCATATTTCTGGCCTTGCAGTGTTCTTCAATCAAAATATTATAAGTGTTTCCATCAGGCACCACACACGCAGCTTGCATTGCCCTACAAATCTCAGCCGTTCGGTGCATATTGCTTCTTCTTGAATACTGTTTCATAAGAGAATTGTATGTTGTTGTGTTCGGTATTATCTACCTGTCCAACATCCATTGTAGCAGCTGGCTTCTCCCCGTCTTCCAGCCTTCCTGATTGACTAAATGCATTCGTAAGGACATCGAATGCAACAACTCTAGGCTGAAGTCCCCTTTTCAGCATCTCTTGCAGGATTTCATTGGCCTTAGCCATATCTCCCATCTTACAATAAGCAGCCATTAAAGTAGTATAAGTTACAACATCAGGATGAATTCCTTCCACCTCCATTTCTTCCTTCAGTTGCAGTGCTTGTTCTAGATTTCCTACCTTACAGAGACCATTGGCCACTCCTTCAGAAGTTCATCTGTCGTATCTAATTCGCCAATTTTGCAAATGCCATCAGCCAGTGTGGTGTATGTAACAACATTTCGCACAAGCCCAGGTCGGACCATCTGGTTGTGAAGAAAGAATACCTTCTTCGTATCACCTGATTTGCAGTAGCCATCAAAAAAGTGCTGAATATGTAACTTCATCTGGCCTCTCACCTCCTTGACCAAGCATTTCAGTAATAAAGAGTTTGTCAGCTTCCAGCATGTTTCCGTTTTGACAAAATCCACAAATGATAGCAGTATATGTTATAAAATAAGGAATAATCCTCTGGGTCTGCATCTCATGAAATAGCCTATACGCAGCTTGAGTATTTCCTAGCTTGCAGAGACCATCAGTTAGCGTTGTATAGACAACATTGTCAGGAGTTGTCCCCTGCTTCGCCATATCTTTCAATACTGTTTCTGTCTCATCGACATTAGTTACCACTCTTGACAGAAGAAGGATAGTGCTAGTATTATAGGTGTAAGAGTTTGGCTTCAATCCCTTGCATTTCTTCAATAAGGTGCAACACTTCTTCTAATTCTCCCATTTGGCAATAACCATTTATTATAGTACTATAACTAACAACATCTGGAGCAGTGGCGGAGCCACCTTATAGCCAGGATGGGCTATAGCCCCTCCTCAACTCTCAAAATCGTGTAAATTTACGTGTAAATTTTGGTAACAAACTTGGAGAATAGATTAGATTGTAAGGCTTTAGCCCCCTTCCCGGTTCAAACATCTTGAACGTAAATTTTTAGCCCCCCTCACTCAGATTTCTGGCTCCGCCACTGACCTGGAGTATATGTATATCCCTTGAACTCCATATGCACTAGCAAAGTATGTGCCTCTTTTAAGGTAGACCTTCAAAGTAGGGGTGGGCATTAGGTCGGTTCGGTTTCGACCGAATCGAAATTTTGAATACCGGGTCCCCGCATTCTCCCAAACCTCAAATTGAATTCGAACCAAATTATAATTTGGTTCGGTCAGTTTAAACCGAATTATACTTCGGTTTGGTCGGTTTAAACCGAATTACAATTATGTTCGATTTTTACACAAAACCAAATTTGTTAAGCTACTTGTATCTTCTCACTTTTAAATTATTTTTTACCCCTAATATAAACAATAAATATGCAATTATATGCATCATCAATGATAAAATCCAAACTTTTCAACACATGAGTCATAAAACGTTTCAAATATTTAAGTCTGAAAACAACAACAAACATAAAAATCCACCATTTGGAGCTTGCAATTGTAGTATTTCGGTTTTTCGATCGAAAATTCGGTTGGGTTGAAAAAACCCTGATTTCCGAACTATCCATATTTTGCTTCCGAATTCCGAACCAAATAACATTAATTCGACTTCGATTCGGTTTAATTCGGTTTCGGTGTATTGTTTGACAAGTATAGACTGGGCCTGATTTCCTTCAAATACCAAGCCCAACGTCCCTTGCGAATAAGTGTCAAGTAAAATGCAAACTGGGCCCACCGTATTTCCACAAATGAGTAGATTCCTTCCCCGGTTGGCCCACGAAGCATATTAGCCGCGGTTGTTGTTGATGGATTTGGAGTGTATGGAGGTTGTGTAAAGAAAACTGGCTTCCTTGGAGCAGAAGCAAATCTCCTTAAAATCTGCAGGAACTTTGGGACTCTAAGCCGCTGCCTTGGATCACAACCAAACGGGCCCCAAGAATCATCACACTTTCCACTTTCAGTCAAGCCAAGGCATCTTATCTTATAATACCCTAAATAGAGAAAGAAAGAAAAAATGCTGAAGCAACAAAGGTATGGGAAAAAAAGCATACTCAAAGCTAGCCAACTATCGGCAGCCGGCCAAAGAACCTTATTCTCCTACTTCCCTCCTCCTGACACTTTCACCCTACCATTCCACACACTAGTAAACAGAAAAAGACTCTATATATGCTCTACCCCAATTCCATGAATCACATTCTCCACCATTCTTCTCCCATGGCCACTGCAACAACTACTACTACTACTCTCTTAGCACTAGTGGCTTTCTTCATCACAACTCTCACATCTTTCCCTTTCATGGTCTCGTCTCAGGCTTGCCAGAACTACTGTGGCAACATCCCCATCAAGTACCCTTTTGGCACCGGCCTTGGCTGTGGCGATCCACCCTTCCAAAAGTATGTTACTTGCAGCCAAGGCAAGCTCACTTTCACCTCCCACACCGGCTGCTACCCGATCACAAACATCGACTACTCGAACCAAGTCATCTACATCTCCGATCCATCCATGTCGACGTGTTCCTGTACTCAACCGAGCAAAGGATTTGGCCTCGATTGGGACGCCCCTTTTTCTTTCCATGATGATACAGTGTTCACCCTCTTGGATTGCTCAACCACATCGTCACCTATGTTCAGCACTGCTGACTACGGTGGTGAGAGTAGTGGCAATGGCAGCAGCATGGTCCCTCAGTGTGACAGGACAGGGGCGCCAATCTGCAGCTTCTTGTATTCATGCAGGGCGATCAGTATGATGAACCTCCCAATCTCCACTTGCTGTGTTTACACACCGGTTGATCTTGGCCCTTCGTTCGAGATGGACCTCCAGAAGCTGAAATGTTCGTCGTATGCTGGATTCTACAGCTTCAATGGGCAGGAATCGAATCCGGATGACTGGAAGTATGGGATTGCATTGAAGTATAAGTTCAATGTGTATAATGATTACCCCGGATCGTGTGCGAACTGTGAGAGAAGCCATGGGGTTTGTGGGTATGTTGGGGCTTTCAACTCTTTTGTCTGCAATTGTCCGGGTGGTTTCAATACCACATCTGAGTGTCTCTTCTTCAGCCATGCTTCAAGCCAATGGAAGAATGGTAGTCTTTTTAATTTTTTCTCTAGTACCCTTGCTGTTTCTCTATTCACTTCTTGAAATCAACCATTTGATGTTGATTCTCTGATTGATTACAGGTGCTTGGTGGATCAGTTTCTTGGCAACCCTTTTCATTTTAACCAATTTGTAGACTGGAGAGACACCATGGAGATGGAAATTTCTCTTGTTTTCCATGTATAAGAATCTGTTGCAAATGTGGGGGAAAGTTGCTGTAATGTTGCTTTACAAATTATATTGTAAGGAATGTGGAAAAAGGGGCAATGGGCATTACCCCAAATAAATAGTTCCATTCTTCTTTTTGTAATTGGAACTTCTGAATTCAGAGGTTTTTAAGTTTTATCATTTTGGCTATCCACCAAGCCAGCTAGCTAGCAGAAGTGGGGACTCTGATGTGGAGAGAATCTGAAGTACCAGAAGAATATGAAATAGAATGAGGTGAGGGAATAAGGTTCTCTTTTTTGTGAACAATCATAGCCACCAAGAAAGAATCACTTTCAGACTCAAGAGTAAAGCTTCACTATCTAGGACCCTACTTGGTTGCTAAGCTCATCCATCAGAAATTTAAAGCTGGCTTTATTGCTTCCACCTTTCAGCTAACAAGCTTTGGAATCTCCACTTTGTAGCAACTTCTGGAATTTCAAGTACTCAACAAACTAAAAGTTTAATAATGGAGGGCACATATGAGGTTCAATAATGGAGATCATGTATGAGCCAAAAATGGCAAAAGTTCAGTCCATTCTGATATTGCATTTCAGTTTCGTCTCCCCGGAATACAAGAGGAAAAGGCAGGTGTTCTGTGACTTGTCTATCTTCTCCCTTTACTGTTGTCCTCCACATAAGCTACAGGCAAGACTGAATTAGGGGGAGAGAGAAAGCTGAACTGAACTAAGCTTGAAGAATGACTGACAGGGAACAAAAACTATAATGAATTGAGCTCAGAATGCTATATATCTCCCCTTGAATATGTACAAAGGTCCTGCTAGGACTACAAAACTTGTTTTTCCTTCTTGTTCTTTACCAACTAGTTGCGGTTTACGGTTAACCCCATCGGCGGTAGTCATCTTATTTGTCATCTCCAGTTGCAGCATTGGGCTTTTCCTTGATGTAACTTCTCCCATAGGCAAATCATCTGTCTTGGAGACTGGTAATGAGATGTGTAATAATCATCGATGCACCCAAACTGGCAGAACTTCAAGCTGTGCACATATTCCACAGGTTTTGAGCTGTTGAACTTTTCCACCCACATTCCCATGCTCACATCTTCCATCTTAAATAGCTGCAGCGAAGCCAGAATTCAAGTAATTCAGTTAGGAGGAACACAAGATGTGCATCATAGGTTTTTGAACCATGTATAAAAAGAGTCTAGTGCAGGTTAGCATCTAATTTCTACGAGTATGTAGACAAGAGAGGAGGGACGAGACAAAGTGGACCAATGGCTCTTACTCTTAGCTTGTGTTGTTCAAATTCTGATACTACAAACTCTGCGATGTCGGATGACACAATGTAACCTGGACCATTAGCATAGGGAGGATACACTTCCTCTGGCCACTCCTGAATCGTACACACGAAGAAAAGTACACATAAGCAGCATGTATTCGGAACAGGTAGATCACACACAAAAAACTTCTAACGTGAACAGAACTGATTGTGATTCTTAGTTCTAGCCTCTACGTTAAGTTACTTGACACACATTATGCATGACAAATCTAACCACGAAAAGGACCTGACAAAAGGCAGAAAAATTCAGTCCAGAAGAATCACAAAGGACTTGCAGCAAAATGCCACCGGCATAATAATGCAGAAACTTCCTAGTTCTCTTTTTCAGTAAGATCAACTAACCTTGTAAGTCACTGCCCATTTACCATCTCGCAAGGGCTTGTGATAGTAGTTGATGTTCCCAACATACAAGCTTTTGTTTCCAACCACTTTCTTCGCCTCCTTCATTACGGCATCCACTCTAACAAATGTGTCGTCATCACATTTCATAATAAATTTTGCAGCAAGATTCTGAACCTGTTGAACCATACATGATATAGAGCCACATCATCAATGCATGATACAAAGACAGGAAAATTCAGCAAGATTTCAAGTAACTCGGATACTCACCCCATATTCACAAATTGCAACAGTCTTTAGCACTACAAGATCATAGTTGTCCATGTAGGGAACTATAACAATATCACCAAAATACTCTGCTTCCTTCTTTAGCTGTGCATTTATTTCTTTTCTCCCAGTCTGCAAAAAATTTGCAGAATATCAGTTCTTAGAAACTCAACAGCCCAAAAAGCAAATAGGGTTTACAGGTCTGGGTATCTCCTCAAGCATCTTACCAGTGCAACGAAGAATCGAGCAACAACATTTGAAGATTTGATCAAGTTATGTTGCATCCATGTTTTCCTTATAGCCATCCGTTCGGAAAAATGATTTCCAGCAGAGAGGATGCCAATAAAAAGCTCAACTTGGCCAAGAACAACTGGAAGTGAGGGTGCTTGCCATTTCTTAAACATCTCGAGATGCTGTTGCGGAGCAAAGTTTGGATGTGAACTAGGCAATGATGCAGCAATTACAGCATCAACATCGACATCACCGTTCAAATAAAACCCAGTAGCATCCTCAAGAACAAACCCCTGAAACAATCACATGTAAGTTTCCAGACAACCTGCAATTTTGAGCATTCCCAGTTCATGGAGAAGGAGATCACTAAAACAGAAAAATTACTCACAATCCGATAAGGAAATGACGTGATATGCCTGCCATCAACATTTATGTGGTAACCTTCTAAGCCAGCAGTCAATGTGAGAACGAACAACTTGCCTTCTGCAAAAGGGAACGGCCAATTGTATGAAATCTTCTTTGTCCTCCCTATCAGTCTGTTCAACCACCATACTGTCTTTGAATCCTCCGTAGTTCCATCATCATCCCGCAGCCATTTCTCACACTTCACCTGCCCATCAACTTCACGAACCAACCCAGAAGAGGAAAAGGAAAAGAAACCTCAATGAATCGTATTACACAATCAAGGATTCAACCAAATAAATGCGATACGAAAAAGGATAAAAACTTTGAGGAGTTGGCATGTCGCCTTGCTTACCTGTTTCCTCATCAGCTCTAGAATTCCAGCCCTCGCATCTCTGAGCATGCCCCCACTGCATTCTGTAACAAGTGTTCTGCTCAATCACAGGCTTCCCACTCCAATCACCCTTCAACCTCGGGTTGACATGCAAAATCCTCGGCGGTTCTTCGTTATCGACGGTCTTCAATCCCAGCAGCTCCATCATGAACTGGGAAACCATCAATTCTTGTTCACCTTCCCTCAGCAGAGCTATCTTCGGGTCTCTTTCCCTGTGACCCCACCTCGGCTTCCCCACAACGGTTATATGCGAACCCAGAGTCAGCCCGCAGGGCAGCTCCAGGATCCTTTTACGGGACAAGAATTCTGGTCCAGTCAGAGTGATCGAATTCGGGCACTGCTGCTCAGTGGAATTCTTCTCGTCGGTCCTGATCGGATCGGGTTGAAGCTTGTCCGATTCCAACTCCTCCCAAAGCTTCTTCCCCGATAACCACGCCTGTTTCGCCGTCTTGTAAAGTGCAGAGAATTCGTCGAGCGAAGTCACAACATCGAACACCGTCTCGTTGAAGAACAACCCGGAGATTCGCTTACTAGTCTCCCTCATTCTCCGCGCGGGGCTCCGGCGGAAACCCACTCGAGAATCCGAAGATTCTCCGGAAGGACTGCCGCCTCGATCTTCGCCGCCGCCGCCGCTGATTTTGCTTTCTGCTTCTTCTGCTCGCTCAAACAACTGCCGTTCGTCACGCTCGAAGACCCACGACCTGGGCAGGGCTTCACCGGTAGACCCGTCACCGTTAGCTGACCCATAAACTTCCACCGACCCTGTTCTGAAAACCAGAGGGATCTCGAGAGTAACGAAGAGAAGGTAGAGGAAAAAAGCAGCCATCAAGGTCTGAATCAGCCGGACCCGACTCAGCGGCAGCATAGTTTCCAACTTCACTCTCTTCATTGTCGGTGCTCTCACCACCGACGAAGTAATTAAACCCAGTGATGTTAAAAGTAGCCCTAGTGCCGGAATTAGGACAGACCGGGAGAATTCGTGCTTGAAGAACCGGTGGTGGAAGATTGGGAAGGGATTCTTACAGCGGAAAAACGAAAGGGAAGGATGGGAATTTGTATACAAATCGTCACGCCAGTCGCCAGCGAGCAGAATGGCTGTTTGTTTCGTTAATCACGCTCACGCCGACGGCATTGACGCGTGCGGCGAATTTTTCTTAGGTAGATATTTCCAAGAATATGACTCGAGCAATTAGCAAGTTCAAAACTTAAAATAGTAAAAAGGATTGCAAAACAAAAAGAAAGTAAAAGGGCCGTCCATTATTTTCTCAAGGAGCAGCAGCGGACCCGGTTTCAGGGAATCTAGTAATCCTAATCTATTTCTAGCAAGGTTGTCAATCGGCTGGTTGATCCAAACCTGTCCACAATAACAAGGCCAAGGGCCAGCTGCTCAGTGAAGTGTTTGCCCGAATTTGATCAAACTTGGCCAAACCCGGTAAAAGCCTGGCAAACTCGAGCGGTTGGACTGAGAAGAATCAGAGTTTGGGGGAAAATGCTCGTTAGAGCTTTCCATTGATGATGAATCAGCTTATATACAAGCTACTAATTACACTTAACGGTAACTACAACTAACAAATGAAAAGAACCAATGAATGCTATACACGTGTAAATGACACAGTGAAATCGGAAACAAGGCTGTTAGCCAAAACGATGCGCTTCACTTCCATTCTTCTTCTCTGCAAACGTCACCGTTTGAGGCTCTACATTCTTCTTTGTTCTTCGTTCTTCATCTGCAGCAGAGCCTCCATTCTTCTTCACAGCAAGGCTGCTGCAAGGAGAATCATCCATCCTCTTTGTTACCCTCCCACAAGCTGGCGAGTATAGGTCATATACTCCCAGCTTGGATAACAGAAGAGCAAAACGATCAATAGGTAAGCTTTTTGTAAAGATGTCTGCTAGCTGTGATTCAGTTGGCATATGATGAAGAGAGATCAAACCAGATTGAACACTTTCCCTGATCACATGGCAATCCACATCAATATGTTTCGTTCTTTCATGGAATACTGGATTTTCTGCGATGTGGATTGTCGACTGGTTGTCACAGTAGACTTTGACTGGATGTTCATGTTTGACTCCAAAGTCCCTCAGCAATCTGATCAGCCACTCAATTTCACAGCTTAGGCTAGCCAAAGCCCTATACTCTGCTTCAGAAGACGACCTTGACACTGTCTTCTGCTTCTTGCTCTTCCAAGTGACAATTCCAGACCCAAGGAAAGTACAGTAACCAGTGATAGACTTTCTTGAATCAGGACAAGTTGCCCAGTCTGAGTCACTGAACCCTGTAAGAGCAAGAGTATTCTCCTTTGGATAGAGCAATCCCTATCCTGGTGAGCTCTTTAGATATCTGAGAGCCCTATGTAGTGCCCTTAAATGTAGGGACGTAGGGTTATCCTGGAACCGACAAAGCTGCTGTACAGCAAAGCTAATTTCAGGTCTGGTGGTGGTGAGGTACTGCAGCTGGCCTACTAGGTGTTTGTACTCACCAATGTTCCCCAAAGGAACACCTCCCTCTGCTGATAGTATTTCCTTCACATAGATGGGAGTAGCAGCTGGCTTGCAGTCTTGAAATCCTGCCTCAGCTAAGAGATCAAGACAATACTTTATCCGGGATACAGTGATCCCCTTTACTCCTCTTACAACTTCCAATCCAAGGAAGTATTTCAATTCCCCCAGATCTTTCATCTTAAACTCACCCTTTAGTAAACCCTTGGTCTTGTTGATTGCCTCTAAACTGATGCTCCCAATTAATATGTCATCTACATAAACAATGAGTACAACCAACTCTCAAAGGATCTGATCAGTAAAGATGGAATAATCACAAGCAGATTGTTTGAATCCATGTCTCAACAAGCTTTCTGTTAGCTTCATGTACCATTGCCTGCTTGCTTGCTTAAGTCCATAGATTGACTTTTTCAGGTGGCAAACTTTCCCTTCTTTAGCTGCCTGATCATCTAAACCAGGTGGAATTTCCATATAAACCTCTTCAGTTAGGTCCCCATTTAGAAAGGCATTACTTACATCCATTTGATGTAAGTGCCACCCTTGTGTAGCTGCCACTGCCAGTAAAGTTTTCACAGAACTCAGTTTTGCTACTGGTGAAAAAGTGTCACAGTAGTCAATACCATAGATTTGGGTGAAACCTTTTGCTACCACTCTTGCTTTATGTCTTTCTATTGTTCCATCAGAGTTTAACTTCAACTTCCACACCCATTTGTTCCCAATGATCTTCTTTCCAGGTGGTGGAAACTTAATCTCCCATGTCCCATTGTCACACAGAGCCTTCAATTCATCCTGTGCTGCCTTATTCCAGTTTGGATCTTTGATAGCTTCCTCATAAGAGGTTGGTTCAGTATAGGTAGCAAGGGTGTTTATGAAGTGTTGGTGTTTGGGTGAAAGTTGACTATAGGACATGGCTTTGCTAATGGGGTACTGGACATAATCATCATCATGCCAGTTGGGTGGTTTAGTTGTTCTGGTGGGCTTTCTTTGGGCAAGGGGTGGAGTAGGTGATGAGTGTGGTGGTGAAAAGGCAGCAGGAGTTGAATCATGGGATGTAGGGGGAGATGGAGAAGAGGGTAGTGAAAATGGAATGGGGGAAATGGTAGGAGTAGGAGTAGGTAGTGGATCATCAGGATGAGAGGAGGAAGAATGAGAGGGCAAGGGAGTGTGAGTGCCCCCTGCAAACTGATGATCTATTGAAACTGGTGGCTCACTAGATTGGTTTGGAATGGAGGGTGTGTAAGTGGTAGATGGCATGGGAAAAGGACCAGATGGAGGGAAGAAGTCAGTGGAGGAAGGATTAGGATCAGGAGAGGATGAGGCTGCATAGGGGATGATGTGGTCATAAAAATGAACATCCCTTGAAATGAAAACTCTCTTGGTTTCAAGATAAAGCAACTTGAAACCTTTAATGCCTATTGGGATTCCCAAAAACACACATTGTTTGGCTCTGGGTGTGAATTTTGTTCTATGGGGTCCTGCAGTAGAGGCATAAACAAGGCAACCAAACACCTTAAGTGTGCTATAATCTGGGGGAAAACCATATAGCATCTCAAAGGGTGACTTGTTGCTCAAAATTGGAGTAGGTAAACAATTGATGAGGAATGCAGCATGGAGAACAAACTCACTCCAGTATGACAATGGGAGTCCTGATTGAAACTTGAGAGCCCTAGCAACATTGAAAAGGTGTTGGTGTTTCCTCTCAACTCTCCCATTCTGTTGAGGTGTGTAAACCACACTCATTTGGTGCTCAATCCCATGCAACTTGTAAAACTCATCCATATGAAAATCTTGTCCCTGATCTAATCTAATAATCTGGACAGATTTTTGGAACTGATTCTGAACCATAACACAGAAGGATTGAAGCAAGTTTCTGGTTTCATCTTTAGTTTTCATTAAGTAGGCCCACACACATCTACTACAATCATCTACGATTGTCAAAAAATAGCTAAAGCCATTGTAAGATGGAGTGCTCAAAGGCCCCCAAATATCCACATGTAACAGACAAAACAAAGTGGGATTGACAGAAGAACTGGAAGAAAAAGGCAAACGTTTTAGTTTTGCCAAATGACAAACATTACAATGAACTATCTGTGAAGGTATGACATTTGGAAACTGTTTGCGTATAGCTTCTACTCTAGCTATGTAGGGATGGCCAAGTCTGGCATGCCAAAGATCAAAATTCTGAGGCTAGAAGTTGAGATGAGTTGTGGCAAAGCACTTAGATAGGGAATTGGTAGTGTCATGCTTGTGGTTGAACAGATATAGACCCTTATCGACCTGGGCTAAACCAATCCTCCTCTGTGTAATAAGGTCCTGTATAACACAGAAAGAGGATTTGAACAAGAGTGAGACAGAGTTTGTTTTGGTAAGTTTGCTAACTGAAACCAAATTGTAAGAAAAACTTGGCACGAACAGGACTTGGGAAAGAAACAAGTCACAGGGAAGTTTGACAACTCCTATGTGTGTGGCCTGGACCCTATTTCCATTAGTTAGGTTGACATATATCCCATTTAAGGGTTTGTATTTCAAGAAGTACTTCAAATGACAGACTATATGCTCTGTTGCCCCAGTATCAAGCACCCAAAGTGGTTCTGCAGTATTGGCTAAGAGTGTAGACAAGACTGTAGTACCTGAACTGGAAGGAAGGTGCACTGGCTGATATTGAGTCACAACAGCATTGGCAGAGTGTCTGATTGAAGGTGATGTTGGTGGAGAAGGTGATGGTGAAGGAGATCCCAGCAGAAGCATCCTCAGTTTTTCCATTTGTTCATTGCTCAACTGTAAGCTTGCCAAACCTCCATCTTTGGTTTGCAAGTCAGAGCTTCTCTTCACTGAAGCAGAAGCAGCTAGGACCCTATGACCACCTTCTGGTTCATTTCCTGTTTCCACTGAACCAGCAAAACTGCCTCCTCCAGCTTCTCTTGCCTTTTTGTTTTTCAACTTAAGACATTCAAACACAGTGTGATAGTCCTTCTTGCAGTACCTGCAAAACTTTTTCCCATTCTTGAAGTCTCTATCACTGGTTTGTGGGTGTTGAGATCCTTGATTGTTGTGGTTGGATGCTGCTGCAAGTGCTACTGATTCCACTCCTTTGCTCTTGTTGACACATTTCATTTGCCTCTCAAGCTGAACAATGTGCTTGAAGACAACATCAATGCTAGGAAGAACAGGGTTCATCAGCACTTGGGTTCTTGCAGACTGATATGAGTCATTGAGACCTTGCATAAACTTGATAATGAAGTCATTATCTTGATACCTCTTCGTCACCTCATAAGGACCATTGCAAGCACAATTAGGTATGGGTCTATACCTGACTCACTATGACACAACACCTAACAATGGCCAAGTGTAACCAATGGAAGGGACTGCAGTATAGTGGCTCAAGTGATAAATATCGAATCCACGGGTCTCTAGAGTTACTATTACTCAGCTTCAGTTTATTATTTAGCAAACCAGATTAAGATGAAAGAACTAAAACTACTCTAGCAAACTACAGTTAAAGTTAATCTAATTACAGGTTGGGAACTCACTTAGGTATGATTCCCCCTAGCCACTAGCCAGACTAACGATTGATGATTTCTAACTTGTTTCACTTTCATTCACAATGCGGAGAATCCTTGACTAGACCTTGAGTCTCGACTAAAGGAACAAGGCCCTCTTGAGTCAATTGCCTAGAGGGACGTATCCTTCTCTAGAACAACCGATCAAGGCGTTCTGAACTAGATTCCCTCTATCGAATGAGGTTCTCAATCGATACAAAGCAGTGAATCAACCCTCGACTAAAGCAATCGATCCACTACTATCAATCTATGATGCTCTGTTGACCTAATCAGGTATTCCCTCTCATAGGATCAAAGCAGAATCAATAATCTCGACTAAAGCAGAATTGAATCATGAAAACATGCATAGATTGAATATGAACTCAAGATTATCAAGTCAGAGTACTCATACAATCATCCAATCAAACAAACATAACTAGGGTTCCTCAAAACCTAAGTGAAGGGAAGTTACTCCATAGAGAAGAGAGAGACTGCAGTAAGAATCTTCAGATGATCAGTCTTCAAGTCCGGGCTTGTTCCTCAAGCTTCCAAGGCAAAGAAATCCTCCAATTCCACTCCAAGAATGCCCTCAAATCGCCCTCTCTCTTTGGTTCGTCCCTTGGGTGTTTGGGATCCAAAACCCAGCTCTCTCCTTTCCTTTTGGCTGAAAATCTGCTTAAAAGGGCATCAGTGGCCAAAGCACGGTCGAGGGCACGGCCGTGTAATGCCTCAGCCCGCCCGTGCTTTGGCTAGGGTTAATTACACGGCCAGTGCATTGGGAGAAACACAGTCGTGCTTTGGAGAGAACACGGCCGTGCTTTGGGAGAACACGGCCGTGCTTTCAGCCCATGTAATCAGCTCATGTTTGCCAAACTCGAATTAGCTCTCGGCAGTAAAAGCACGGCCACAGAACACGGCCGTGTTTTGGAGAGAACACGGCCGTGCTTTGGGAGAACACGACCGTGTAATGAATTAGGTGTGCCCGTGTTTTGGCTCCAGCTCGACGAAATGACTTCTGAATGCCCCGAAACTCGTGCTTAGCCTTTCCTTTGACGCCTGGGACCTGAAATATGACAAAATAGCACAACCCGACGTAAAATAGGCCAAAAGTACACGACTATGCCCCTCAAACGGATAAGAACTAGGGGCGCAAATATGTGCAATTACATCGTTATCAAACTCCCCCACACTTAACCGTTTGCTTGTCCCCAAGCAAACCTAACTCAAACCAATGCAACTCTCCAGACCTCTATAGCAACAAACAACCCAGATCGTAGGTAGAGGACTTCCTAGATCATTTAGCAGCTTACGAGGTCAACCGACGCACAAGTCATCTCATAGCTCCTTCGGCGAGAGCACTAGTATCGAGTCGGCATCATGGCAAATAGTGAACAGAGGACAAATGAATTGTGGATGAAGAGATTCTCAAAAACAAAAGATCATGGACTCACATTTTTCAAGGTGCTCTATATTCTTTGAAGATGGTTGGAACCCCTTTTCTTTCTGTTTTGCTTGTTTTCTGTAAAAAAAAATTTCAAGGGTCCCAACCGGCTCTTACTGGCATGCCAGGAGCGGATGGCTCGAGCCTCGTGCGGGGGAAAGACATGTAAGGGGGCTGGAGGTAGTAGGTGGAAATTGGGAACGGATTCCCGTCTCCCCTTACACACTTTCGCCCTATTCGCACGGGAGACGTTATTTTGAAGCACATTTTCGAGCACCTGTTATTTTCAAAGCATGATAGAAGAGTCCATGACAGGCAGAGAATCCACAACACCACACAATTCAAGGGTCCTAAGATCACTAATTCACTCAATCAACCAACACAATATGAAGAAGAAATGAGATTTCTTAAATGCATCAACATCCTCCATAGTGCTACACTACCTCCCTAGGTTGCATATTACTATAAAGACTGTCAATTCAAAGCATACTGAGCAGGAAATTGCAAGGAACACGTACTTGGAGCCCTCAAATTTAAAAATTTGGACAGTGGACTAGGCTCCAAGCACACAAACAGCCAAACATTCACCCGCATAAATAATCGAACATCCCCCCACACTTAAGCACGACATTGTCCTCAATGGAGGAAAGATAAGGAGGGTAGAACGAAGTTACCAGATCAAGGGTGAATGATGATGAACGGGTCAGGCGGTGCATTCCAGAAAGAGAGAGTAATCAGAACACAAACACCACACAAAATCTCACAAAGGTTGAGTTATTGACTCTAAAATCAAATAACAAAACTGACTCAACCGAGGAGAAATAGAGAAAGAAATGCAAACCGACTGGTTGGGTTGCCTCCCAACAAACGCTTCTTTCACGTCGTGAGCCAGACGATGGCTCCTAAGTTTCGGTCCATGCTAGAACCTCCTTGAAGTTGAGGTTCTCGTCGATGAGGTGGAGTCTCAAGTCACGAGCATGTGGTGTGACAGGTGATGAAGGCTCATGTACTTGATGCAGATGAAGTCTCCACCCTCGAGACCTCTTCTTCTCTTCTCTCGTCTCATTGCCCCAAACCAGATATGACAGCATCGATTGGCCACCATCGCGTCCACCAAGAGGGACCAATTTCGATGTGGCTTTGGTCCGGCAAAGAAACACTGCAAATGGTTCCTTGCTAAGCAGTTCCTCAAAGTTTGGTGGGGATATCACTTGCAACTCATGGCCGGTGCAAGCCTCTTCCACCTCAACTTCGTCCTCAGCCTGGACGCCAATTGCTTCTTCAACCTCCCTTCCTTCTTCATGTGGTATCACCCCTGGGAAATGATCAAGAACTCCTCCAGCTTCACTTTCGTCATCCTCCACAACTTCTTTCTGCACCCTTTCTTGCTCTTCTTCTTCTAGCACAGATTGGAGAGCAAGTTGCCAAGCAATTTCTTTCATGCGATCTTCTTGCATCTCCTCACTCATGCCCACCTCTTCAAAGCTCAGTTTGGGGTGTGGGAAGGTGTGGTCGGCTACGACATGACACTCCTGATCATGATCATCACGGGAGCTCTCCGTGACAACTTCAGTGTGCTCCACAATGTCCTTGTAGCCTTCTTCTTCCTCCTCCTCTTCTTGTATGGTAGCAGAAGGGTTATCTGGAGCAGGTTGTGCCCAAGATCGCTCAAGATCATCGACGCTCTTCTTAAGGCTCAGGAGGATCTCCTCTGTTTCACGAAAGGCCTGGACATAATGATCCATCCTGGAGCATGATCTCTCCATGAGAAGCCTCAATTCGTAGGTTGGATCTGGTTGTGGAGTGTAGCATGGCTCTGCAGAATAGCCCGTGAAGGCCGCCATGGGTAACTCCAGCGCCGATGGCCCTTCTGGTTGTGGGAGAAATTCTTTTTGGTAATGAGGTTGTTCTTGATATGCCCAGGGGTCCGGTTGTTCTCCGTAGTAAGGGGGTTGGTACTGGAACCCGAATCCATAGTCTTCTCCTCCTTGATTGCTCCAGGGAGTCTCGGGGTAATACCACCCGGATGGTGGTGGATACCCCCAATTGTTGGAGAAGCCATGAGGATCCATGATTCAGATCTGCACCAACAAAAACAAAAACACCCAAGTGAAAAGCAAGGGTGGAAAATAAAAGAAAAGAAAAACGCTAAAGTAACAAACTTCTGCCTTTCCTAATACTCTAGAAAAACCCCGGCAACGGCGCCAAAAACTTGACTCACTATGACACAACACCTAACAATGGCCAAGTGTAACCAATGGAAGGGACTGCAGTATAGTGGCTCAAGTGATAAATATCGAATCCACGGGTCTCTAGAGTTACTATTACTCAGCTTCAGTTTATTATTTAGCAAACCAGATTAAGATGAAAGAACTAAAACTACTCTAGCAAACTACAGTTAAAGTTAATCTAATTACAGGTTGGGAACTCACTTAGGTATGATTCCCCCTAGCCACTAGCCAGACTAACGATTGATGATTTCTAACTTGTTTCACTTTCATTCACAATGCGGAGAATCCTTGACTAGACCTTGAGTCTCGACTAAAGGAACAAGGCCCTCTTGAGTCAATTGCCTAGAGGGACGTATCCTTCTCTAGAACAACCGATCAAGGCGTTCTGAACTAGATTCCCTCTATCGAATGAGGTTCTCAATCGATACAAAGCAGTGAATCAACCCTCGACTAAAGCAATCGATCCACTACTATCAATCTATGGTGCTCTGTTGACCTAATCAGGTATTCCCTCTCATAGGATCAAAGCAGAATCAATAATCTCGACTAAAGCAGAATTGAATCATGAAAACATGCATAGATTGAATATGAACTCAAGATTATCAAGTCAGAGTACTCATACAATCATCCAATCAAACAAACATAGCTAGGGTTCCTCAAAACCTAAGTGAAGGAAAGTTACTCCATAGAGAAGAGAGAGACTGCAGTAAGAATCTTCAGATGATCAGTCTTCAAGTCCGGGCTTGTTCCTCGAGCTTCCAAGGCAAAGAAATCCTCCAATTCCACTCCAAGAATGCCCTCAAATCGCCCTCTCTCTTTGGTTCGTCCCTTGGGTGTTTGGGATCCAAAACCCAGCTCTCTCCTTTCCTTTTGGCTGAAAATCTGCTTAAAAGGGCATCAGTGGCCAAAGCACGGTCGAGGGCACGGCCGTGTAATGCCTCAGCCCGCCCGTGCTTTGGCTAGGGTTAATTACACGGCCAGTGCATTGGGAGAAACACAGCCGTGCTTTGGAGAGAACACGGCCGTGCTTTGGGAGAACACGGCCGTGCTTTCAGCCCGTGTAATCAGCTCATGTTTGCCAAACTCGAATTAGCTCTCGGCAGTAAAAGCACGGCTACAGAACACGGCCGTGTAATGAATTAGGTGTGCCCGTGTTTTGGCTCCAGCTCGACGAAATGACTTCTGAATGCCCCGAAACTCGTGCTTAGCCTTTCCTTTGACGCCTGGGACCTGAAATATGACAAAATAGCACAACCCGGCGTAAAATAGGCCAAAAGTACAAGACTATGCCCCTCAAACGGATAAGAACTAGGGGCGCAAATATGTGCAATTACATCGTTATCAATACCTCTTATACTCCTCCCAAAGCACAGTGATATCAGTAAAGTATTGGGTAACTGATTTCTCACCCTGAACACACTTACCCAGTAGCTCATTAAGGTCATAAACCCTCATATTATCTTCCCGACTGAAACGATTCTTTAGGTTATCTCATACATCCTTAGCATTCTCAAGTCTCATCACACTATTCGCTATGTCTTCAGCTAAAGCATTGTAGATCCAACAACGAATAGTTCCATTGCAACGAAGCCAGGATTGGTAAATGGGATCTGTTACCTGAGGAACTGGAATCTATCCATCTATGAATGGGATTTTGTTCTTGGTGGCGAGAGCAACCAGCATGACTTGGCTCCAGGTGTGGTCATTTCCATCTTCTAGTTTGATGGAGATGATTGTTGACAGAGCGCCATCTTGTGGTGGTAGGTAGTAGGGATTTAGATATGGATCTTCATACGGGGGAAAGTTTGCCGGAATGGATTTCCCGGCGTTCTCAGTACTAGATCCAAATTTAGTTGTGTCATCTCCAGACCCAGTATTCATCTTCTTTAGTTAGGGTAAGAAAAGTGAAAAGAGGGGAAGTGAGGTAGTGGTGACGATCTGAGATGACGATCTGGAAACAGAAAGCAGAAGAGCAGGAGAGTGAATGGGGACTGAAACCCTAGTATTGAGAGCAACCAAGCTCTGATACCATGAGAAGAATCAGAGTTTGGGGGAAAATGCTCGTTAGAGCTTTCCATTGATGATGAATCAGCTTATATACAAGCTACTAATTACACTTAACGGTAACTACAACTAACAAATGAAAAGAACCAATGAATGCTATACACGTGTAAATGACACAGTGAAATCGAAAAGTCACCGTTTGAGGCTCTGCATCCTTCTTTGTTCTTCGTTCTTCATCTGCAGCAAAGCCTCCATTCTTCTTCACAGCAAGGCTGCTGCAAGGAGAATCATCCATCCTCTCTGTTATGGACCGCGTTGCGAGTCAGCAAGCTTTCTATCGTCGAGGTGTCAATTCGTCAGGTTAGAATGAGTTTGGATTGGATTCAATTAGATTACGAGTTTCCAATTCATCCGTGTCGAATCAATTGGGTTCGAATTCTTCAGATTGCAGATCAAACAAGCTACAAGTTTATCAGGTTGCACGCGTGGCGTATTGAGTTACTTCCTCTTTAGTATTTACTATTTAGTAGTAGTTACTTACTCTTCGTGTTTCTCCGCAGTTGTTGATCTGCGTTTGCGTGAATAACGTTGGGCTAATAAACCGATTCCTTAAGGAAACAAACTGGCCCAATAGATGGGCTTGATTAATTCAAAGCCCACATTGGTTTCCTATAGTTATCAGGCCGAGACTTGATTCCAAAGAAGAACCAAAACGCAGCACATCAACTTAAACACTAACAGAAGCCTACTATTGCTATGTTTTGGATCAAGGCTTCTTCTTGAGTGGGAAGTGGAAACCCTCTGAAGACCACTTGTTCCCTCAAGAACAGACTTCTATAAACCCAGCAAGCTATTTAGCCAGAAAAATACAAATAACAAAGTCGGTTTTAACGTGGTTTCCAGTGTTACTGTTGAGAGAAAAAGGATCTCAAAACTCACTATTCGGCTATTCCACGGTCCGAGAATCACATTCTGTGATCTCAGACATTGCACTATGAATATGTTTGTTGAAGAACCATACTGAAACCTTGTGGCCAAATTTCTCAACACAAAAGCAATCCCACATGATTGATAAGGAACAACCTTCCTATTCTACTGCAGTCCACTTTCCCACGTTCCTCAGCACTTACTTTCTGTTACAACAGCTACTTGTTTCCCTTGTAAATCTCTTTTCAGTTCCTTACCTCACGTGTACATGTACTATATATATTGTTGAGATACTGAATAATACAACTCAAGCCTTAGTGCATCTTTATGGTATCAGAGCTCATTCTCTAATGAGCCTTTCTTTCTTTCTTGGTTCCCTTTGCTCATTGCTACCATGTCTACCGATTCTTCCCCTCAATCTTCAACCACTCCTTCTGGCGTTTCTGGTTCTTCCCTTTCCCCTTCCCTCACTCTCACCCTCCCTGCTAATCCCCAGCTATCTATCAAACTCACCCCAACCAATTATTTATTGTGGCATGCTCAAATAACCCCTCTCCTGTGCTGTTATCATCTCATGGGCCATGTTGATGGTACGCTTCCTGCTCCGCCACAGCTTCTCAATGATCAGCCCAATCCGGCATATTTTCATTGGTATGATCGTGATCAACTAGTCCTCATTTGGATTACCCATTCTCTATCCGAGGTTGTCATGTCCAACATCATCAACAAGACCACTGCCTTTGATGCGTGGTCGGCCTTAGCACGAATCTATGCTTCAGGTTCCAAAATCCAGATTCGCCATCTCAACAAAGAGATGCAACACTTGCGTCGTGGCGATGTGGGCATTCATGAATATCTCCAGACGGCGAAATCGAAGGCTGATCAATTGGCGGCTCTTGGAGCGCCTGTGCATCCTGATGATCTGGTCGGCTGGATTACAGATGGTCTTGGCGAAGACTATCGGCCCTTTGTTCGCCACTTGGAATCAAAGATGGAGCCGATTTCCTTTGAAGATCTCCACTCCCTTCTCCTCGGTGAAGAGTCCCAGCTGAAGCGCTATCATAGCGTCGCTTTCCAACCCGCGCCGGTTGCCTTCTTCTCCCAACCTGGTGGCTTTGCTGGTTCGCGCGGTCGAGGCGGCAGAGGCAAAGGACGCGCTGCCGGCAGAGGCCGTGGCTCATACCCAATTATTCTTCTTCTCATGTTTTGTTTGACAGGCCAGCGGCGGGTTTGCTTGGGGCCAGGCCCAATGTCTCTCATCAACACCTCGTGTGTCATAACTGTGGTGGTCGGGGCCATATACGTCCTCACTATCCGAGCCCATCCATCCCTTCCGGCCCATCTCAGACTCCTGCCCTCACGGCCCACTCCGCCCCACTTTCGCAGCCTGGACTCTCCCATATCCCTCCTGGTCCACATGCCTATTTAGCCTCCATCCCAGCTCAACCTTTTAATGCTCAGCAATGGCTTATCGACTCTGGTACAAGCCACCACTTGACTTCTGATTTAGACAACTTGGCCCATCATTCCGAGTACAATGGTTTTGATCAGGTCCTATTTGGCAACGGTAACTCCCTTCCTATTTCTCACTCTGGTTCTTCTCGTGCTATCTTATCTGATGCTTCCCTCTCTCTTGATAATATTCTTCATGTCCAAAATGCTCCATACAACTTGTTGTCCACTAGTTCCCTCACTCGTTCTAACCCAGTCTCCATTGAATTTTTCGACTCTTCTTTTGTTATGAAGGACCGTCGAACAAACGCTGAGTTGTATCGCGGTTTTGCAGTGGATGGACTGTATTCTCTGCCCCTCCACGTGTCCCGCAGTCTCTCTCCTCAAGCTTGTCTCGCCTCTCTCGACACTTGGCACCAACGTCTTGGTCATGCTAATTTGCCTGCTGTTAAAAGTGCTCTCCGACACCATCAAATAAATTTTGTCTCTAGTCCCTCTTCGTTGTGTCATGGATGTGCGGTTAGCAAAATTCACAAACTTCAATTTCCCACTTCCACGTTCAAAGCAAATGCTCCTTTAGAATTGGTTTGTAGTGATGTTTGGGCCCCTGCTCCTGTTCGTTCCTATGATGATCAATCCTACTACATTTTATTTTATGATCACTATAGCAAATTTTCTTGGATCTACTTTGTGCGCTATAAATCGCAATTGCTTAGTGTGTTCATTCAATTTCGTCAAATGGTTGAAAAATTCTTCTCTTTACCCATCAAAGTTTTTCAATCTGATTGGGGTGGGGAATACCAGGCTTTGACGTCATATCTTCTTAAACATGGTATTTCTCATCATTCGTCTTGTCCTTATACACCCGAACAAAATGGTTGTGCTGAGCGCAAACATCGTCATATCGTGAATAATGGCCTTGCTCTTTTGCATCATGCTCAAGTTCCTCAAAAATATTGGACGCTTGCCTTTGATACTGCTTGCTACCTCATCAATCGTACACCTACTCCTCTCCTCATTCATAATTCTCCATTTTTTACATTGTTTAACCGATCCCCGGATCTTTCCAACTTACGGGTGTTTGGTTGTCTCTGCTACCCTTGGCTGCGTCCGATCACCTCTTCCAAACTCGATCCCCGTTCTGTTCCTTGTGTTTTTCTTGGATACAACAAACTTCATAAAGGTTATCGTTGGCTTCATCCACCCACAGGGCGTATTTATGTCAGCCGCCATGTATTATTTGATGAAGCTAAATTTCACTTCACTGAGACTCAGTCTCCCTCTTCCTGTCCGTCTTGTACTCCTAGCCCAAATCCCATTATTTTACCCACTCTCCCTTCCTTTCATATTCAGGCCCACACCTCTACCTCTTCAGCCCAGAAACCCACCCCTAGCCCAAAACCATCCCCTACTCTCACCCCACCTGCTCCATTGTCCAACCTGCTACTCCTAACCCTCCTCACAGCCCACCCGACTCTATTGTTCAGCCCACTTTCCCTACCCCTCAGCTCGACCCACACCCCTCGCCCTCGACCGCCTCTGCTTCCGACCCTCGTCGTCCCACTCCCCTTCCTCCCGCAAACCCCTTCCTCCTCGCCCTCGTTTCACCACTTCCCCACAGCCTTATCTGATCACCAATCCCACTGCCTCCAACCATCCCATGGTCACCCGCATCAAAACAGGACATCTTAAGCCCAAAACCTTCCTTGCTCACCCTCCCTCATTTAATGACACATCCACCTCGGCTTCTCAGGCCCTCAAGCTTCCCCGCTGGCGCGCCGCCATGACCGACGAGTTTACAGCCTTGATTCGCAATCATACTTGGGATTTAGTCCCTCCGCCGGCGGATTGTAATCTCCTCACCAACAAATGGGTGTTTCGCACCAAATACCAAGCCGATGGAAGCATTGAACGTGACAAAGCCCGATTGGTGGCTCGTGGTTTTCAACAGATTCTGGGTGTTGATTTTCACGAGACCTATAGCCCTGTTCTTCGTCCTGCCACGTTGCGCCTTGTTCTTGGGCTTGCCATCACTCAAAGCTGGTCTTTGCATCAGCTTGATATTGCTAATGCTTTTCTTCATGGTGAGTTACAGGAAACAGTTTATATGCGCCAACCAGTGGGCTTTGTCGATCCCGACAAACCGGATCATGTTTGCCATTTTTGAAAGAGTATTTACGACCTCCGTC